CACCCGCGCCGCCCCAGGCTCGCGGGCGCACCCGCCTCCCGCAGTGAGGAAGGGGTGGGGGCGAGGCGGGGAGGGCCGCCGCGGGCCAGCCCCAGGTGAGGTGCCTGTCGCGGACCGGCTTGCGGCCTGCGGGGTGGGTTGGGGCATGGGCGCGCGCTCCTGTGAATCGCGAGGATGGATGGAGTGGCCCCGGTGGCCGAGGGCTGGGGCAGGACCCCGAGGTCAGGCAGGTGCTCGTGGAGGACAGAGACTGACGGGGTGGAGCCGAGGAGGAACGGTTTTTCCGGGAGGAGGCCTTGCCAGAGCGGGCCTTTGTAGTAAAATGGGCGTCTTGGCGAGGAACGGGCGGCTCTGGGATGAAGCAGGTGGTCTGAGAGGAGGGGCGTTTTCCTGCCCCGAAGTGAGGGTAGGGGTGGAAGCTTGGCCTGAGTGTCCCGGAGGTTGGGGTTGTCGCTTCAGCACCTGCCCCAGCTATAAGAGCTGAGAGTTGGGCACCAGAAGATAATGGGGGGAGGGGGTAAACGCTAGGATAAAGGGCAAGGCTGTGCCAGGACCTGGGTCCTTTCCTTTCTGCTTTCTGTGGCTCAATTTCTTCTTGATGCTCCCTGCAAAGAGAACCTACAAGCTGCTGGCACAGAGGATGCCCTGGCAGGGCTGCTCTGTCTGCCCGTGGCTGCCTACAGGCCTCCTGCACCGTTCGATGTTTCTTTTGTTATCTCTTTGAATTCTGTGCCTACGATGGGAATCTGCCAATGACCCAGGAGGCTGTCTCTGCCCCTTGCTGCCTCTGGGCTGAGATTCCAGAATCCAAGAGGAGCCGTGGCCAGAGCCCTATGGTGTCCAGCCATTGAGGCCACCTCCCTGTCTCCACACGTAGCTGTTTGCAGGTATTCCCCGTGTGGGAAATTTGACAGCTCCAGCTCTCCCTGGATCCTAGAACCAGAGTGAGAGCTGGTCACCTGGGTTGGTCTTGGGGCCTGTAGGAAGGCTGGTAGCTGAAGGCATGCATCACCTGGGTTCTTATGGAGCCCTTGGGGTGATGGGACATGTGTAGCAGATGGCTCTAGGAAGTCAGTTTGGCCTGGCTGAGGGAAGGCTGCCAGTCTGGCTGGTGCAGCCCAGCTGGCCCCAGAGCAATTGTGTTTCCGCTCCACTCTCCACTAGCTAAACTGACCAGAAAATCTGACGTTCTGTCCCATACCCCCATCCCACCCCCATGCTGTGACACTTATTCCCACAACAATCCTTGGGATAAGCAAACAAACATTTTATCTAATGCCTGCTGTGTGCCATACATGGCATCAGCTAGTTTTATGTGTGCATTTCATTGTGTTCTTAAAACATCCTCTGAGGTAGAATACTAACCCCATTTTGCAGACAAAGAAACTGAGTCTCAGAGAAGTGAAATGACTTGCCCAAGGTCACACCAATTATAAGTGATCGGAACAGAATTTACACCCAGGTCTGTCTGTCTTCAAATCTAGTACATTTTCTAATATAGTTGCTGGAGACAGAGTGGGAGAAGTCAGGGAATTTCTTCCTCTTCTAGCCCATGCTTTGTTTCTTGTCTGCTAGAGATGGTGCTTTAGCTTTTTGAAAATACTTTCCATCTGTTGCCCCATTTTATCCTTACAGCTTTCCTAGGAGGTAAGTAGAACAGGAATATAATAATAGATGCTGTTTATTGAGTACTTACTGGGCACTAGGCACCACTAAGCCCTTTGCATGCAGGATCTCATTCACTCCTTGCAAACTACCCTATAAGGCTAGGTGCTATCATCATCCCCATTTTGTGGATGGGGATGCCAGGGCTCAAAGACATTAAATGGCTTCTCTGGGGCCACACAGTCAGGCCCCAGAGCTAAATGGTGAAGTAGAATATGAACCCACATCTTTCTGTCTGTGGGATCTGTGAACTTAATCCTCCAAACAAACTACATAACAATGATAGTGGTTACTAGGAATAGGAACTACTTTAACACAATGTTTTGAGATTTGCAAACATTTTCACATATACTACCTCATAGGATTTTCCCCCCCCAAACCTTGTGAGTTAGTTTTGGCATGTAGTATCTTCATCCCATTTTCCAGATGAAGTAACTGAGGTTCAGATAGGTGAAGCAGTCTGGTCAGTGGCAGAACCAGGACTAGAACTTCTGCTTCCCGAGTTCCAGTGTTTCTTATGCAGCCTCTTTGGTCTGTTCACATTCACCCCTTTCTCCTCCAGATCACTTCTCCTTGGGCTCCCAGCCCCTCCTGCTGCAGTCCCCACCTGGGCCATGTCTTCCTCAGATGAAGAGACGCTCAGTGAGCGGTCATGTCGGAGCGAGCGGTCGTGTCGGAGCGAGCGGTCTTACAGGAGTGAGCGGTCAGGGAGCCTGTCTCCCTGTCCTCCAGGAGACACCTTGCCCTGGAACCTGCCACTGCATGAGCAGAAAAAGCGGAAAAGCCAGGATTCAGTGCTGGACCCTGCAGAGCGTGCTGTGGTCAGAGTCGCTGGTAAGAGAACCTCCCCCCCACGAGCTGGGTGCTGTGGGTGCAAGGGAGGAATGGGCCCGTGTGTGCTGGCCGGATGGGGAGTGGAGAGGTTCTCAGGCTCTCTGACAAGCCAGCTGGATATCGTTTGCTATTGTTACTATTGGAAAGATGTTAAAGAGAATCTTAAAAGAAGAAAATCTACTGCCTTTATGTAAACAGGAGATCTGTTTTCATTTTGGCCTCTTCCTCTCTATCTTTATATTTTTCAGTTATGTTTTCTCTGCAGTTGCCTTCCTGGCTTATGTACCATTCTGGATCTGACTCTTTTCAGTTACTCTTATATCCAAGAGATTTTCCGTATTACATCTTTCACTTTGGAGTTACCATTTTTAAAGGCTATGTAATACTTCATGATTTTCTTTTTTCACTGTAGTAGACAATGCTGCTGAGGACATGTTTAAGAATAAGTTGACTTCTAGCTGGGTGCGAACTTTATTATAAGGAAATAACTCAACAGAAGTCAAATTATTATTATTATTATTATTATTATTATTATTATTTTTAGTTGGAGTCTCACTCTGTTGCTCAGGCAGGAGTGCAGTGACACACTCACAGCAGCCTCAACCTGCTTGCTGGGCTCAGATGATTCTTCTGTCTCAGCCTTCCAAGTAAGTGTACACCACCATGCCCAGCTAATTTTTTGATTTATTGTAGAAATGAGGTCTCACCAAGTTACCCAGACTGGTCCCAAATTCTTGAACTCAGGTAATCCTTTTGCCTCCGCCTCCCAAAGTGCTGGGATTACAGGTGTGAGCCACCGCACCATGCCAGGAGGTGCCCGTTCTTTGACAAGCACAGTGCAGTGCACTGGTTATGAGTGCAGGTTTTAGACAGAGAGGCATTGTCCTGGACTGTGACCCTGCCATCGATCAGCTGTGTGACTCTGGGCAAGTCCCTTATTCTGTGGAACCTCACTTTCTTTGTCTTAAGAATGCCCCCTGTGCAAGGTTGCCCTGAGGGTTAGATGAGGTAATGTGTGTAAAGTCCTTAGCATGATTTTTGGCTCAGTAAGGAAGATGCTTCTGCTGAAGACATCCAGAGCTGCTTCCCTGGGGCATGCTCAGCATCTCAGCAGGCGATGATGCCAGAGTACAGATAGGAAGATAGACAGAGCAGGACCTGCAGCTGATTCAGTGACATCAGCTGCTTTCTTTCTTTCTTTTTTTTTTTTTTTTTTTTGAGTTAGAGTGTCACTCTGTCGCCCAGGCTGGAGTGCAGTGGAGTGCTCACAGCCACCGCAGCCTCAACCTGCTGGGCTCAGGTGATCCTTCTGCCTCAGCCTTCCAAGTAGTTGGAACTACAGGTACATGCCACCATGCCTGGCTAATTTTTTGATGTATTGTAGAGACGAGGTCTCACAAGCTACCCAGCTGGTCTCAAACTCCTGGACTCAGGCATTCCTCTCGCCTCAGCTTCCCAAAGTTACAGGCATGAGCCACCGTACCCAGCTATCACCTGCTTTCAAACCTTCACTAAGGCCTGTGCTGACACCTCCCTTGTGTCTCTAAGATAAGGCACATGCCCCTCCACTTCATCATCTCTCACCTGGACCTTCTGACTACCATTGGATAGTTCTCCCTCTCTTAATCTTGCCCCCATCCTCCACGTGACCCACAGAGTATTTTATTCTAAAATACAAACCTCAGGAACACTTATTCTGTTTTCTGGAATGAAGTATTGCCAGTAAATAAAATTTTTAAAAACACAAACCTAATCCTATTACTTACTCAGTTGCTCATAAACCATCATTGGCTCCTCGTTGCCCATGGAATAAAGGCTTCAGCATGAAGACCCATCAAAATTAGACCCTGACTGACCTCTTCAGCTTCCCTGCTGCCACCTCTACCCCCAAGCGCCCTGTCACATTGGACTATAATTTGCCCCCTGGAGGTGTGGCTCTTACAGGATCAAACCTCTACGCTTTAATTTTCTTCTCTGCAAGATGCTGGTAAATTTCCTGCTCTTTCAAGTGCCACCTCCTCTGCCCCTAATGCCCCCAGTGGTATCCAAAGCTTCCTCCTCTGCTCTCACAGTCACACTTTATTCTCCTCTATGTTCCTTTGTACAGTACAGCGGTTAACCCAGGGTGCTCATCACTCCCTCAGTACTGTGAGTGATTTGGGACTGTGTCTTATGTTTGACCCCCGGCAGCTTGCCCAGGGCCTTGTGCATGCTAGAGATCAACTGATATTGAATGACTGAATGAATGCAAGGAGTCTTTTGAGGACGATATGTGACAGATTGTGATCCAGGAACAGGCAGTGGGCTGTAGTGGAAAGTTAGACAGGGAGAGGGTTATGTGGGCTCAAGTAATCAGGAAAGGATTTTAGTGGGAGTGAGCACCAAGCAGTAGGGCCTGGAAGGCAGGTGGGAGGGTTTGACTTTCTGGTGGGCAGTAGGGAGCCCTTGGCGGAAGTCCTTTGGGTCTGTGGCATCAGTCAGTCATAGAGTTTTCAGAGCTGTCTCTAGGATGCAGGGAGGGCTTTGCTAGTCCCCAGCCTTGAAGGGCTAGCCATGTCTCAGGCTCTCTGGACTCACAAATCCCTCATTCTCCTGAAGGCAGAGTGGATGTCTCATTCTTCTTTATACCCCCACCTCCATCCTTCATCACTCATGCATACTTATAGATTCCTTTGTGATGACTTCCCCTTCCAGTCTTCTCTGAGGAGGCTCACGGGATGATTTGCCTGCTGTTTAAGATTCTAAGTCTAGAATAGAACCGGAGTGAGTGTACTCAGGGAGGCTTAATTCTCCGGCAAAGCCGCTAAGGACCCTGCTGGACCATCTAGACAAAGCCATGATGGGTGCTGTGCTCAGTTTCTGGCATCGATGCTGATCTTTGCATCTAGACACTGCTGATTGCCTGTTTTGAGGAGGGGGCTGGGACAGTGAGGCTGAAAATGGGGAGACTGCCATGGTTAAAAATAACTTGTGCACTGCAGTTGGGCGTGCTTCTTTAGCAAAAGAGAAGAGAGGCAGCAGAGACGAGGCGGGACTGCGACTTTAGGGTCTGGCTGAAATCTTCATGTGATTTTAGAATGTGGTAGGGACTCTGCCAGAGTAATGGAAATGGAAGCCTTGATTCTTCACGGACTCCTTCACATGAGGCGCAGGAGGGGCATGTCTGGGAGACCCTGGATGCTCTGAAGCTCTCTGAAGCAGAACTTCCATTCAGGGAGGAAATGAAGTCAGTCTTACACTGGAAGCCAGCTGTGGCCTGTGCAATTTTCTCCTCCCTGGTGTCTAAATCAGTCTCACCAAATAGAGACCTCCCTTTCCCTGGCCCCATTCTGTGTCCTGAGCTGGTCTCAGAGCTCCGCCCTTGCTTAAGAGGCCTGGTGGGGGAACCCTGCTAGTCCCACATGTCAAAGTAGAGAGGCATGCCAGGGCTGAGAAACCTGCTGGCCTTAGTCTACAATGTCAAAACCAGTTCTAGGGACTCCACGCATGTTGTAACCCGATGCTTCCTTCCATCTTCCTATCCTCATCCTTTCCCTCCATTTTTTTCTTCCTCTTCTTTGCCAGCCCTATTCTTAACTCCCTAAGCCCAGCCTTGTTGAAATGTAACAGTAGTCACTAAGAGTGCCTTGTTTCTGCTTATCAGCTTTATGATTTACACAGAGTTCATAATAACTCTATGTGTTAGGCAGGACATGTGTTAGCATCTGAGGCTAACAGGGTCTTAGGGACTTGCCTGTGGTTACACAGGACTTGTAGACCCAGATCGTCTAACTCCAAGAGCCTTGTTATTTCCGTTTCCTTATTTCCAACCAGGCCAGTGTGAATCTTCTACAGTTGAAATAGCTGACATGGTCTCCAGACTTGCCTATGAGACCTTTGGAACTCGGTGGCTCAGCCTGTAATCCCGCACCTTTGGGAGGCTGAGGTGAGTGGATTGCCTGAGCCCGCGGGTTCGAGACCTGCTTGAACAACTTGGCGAGACCTCATCTCTACAATAAATCAAAAATTAGCCGGGTGTGGTAGCGCGCACCTTTAGTTCCAGCTACTTGGAAGGCTGAGGCGGAAGGATCGCCGGAGCCCAGCAGGTCGAGGCTGCGGTGGCTGGGAGCGGCCACTGCGCTCCACTCAAAAAAAAAATAAACAAAAAAAAAAGAAAAGAAAAAGGAGGGCAGATGCAAAGGTCTGGGAAACTTTGCTGTTTCCCTCTGTCTCTCTGTCTTAAGTGAAAAGCAGTAGCAATATCCTTGTTTATTGGTGGGGGACAACCAGAAAAGGGGAGCTGAGAGGTGACTCTAGCAAGGAATACAACCCCAAAGGACATAAAAGGGGAAGAGGAAAAAAGGATATATCCCCTGGAGCCTGTGGAGAGTGAGCAGAAAACAGGATCTCACATGGTTGTACACTTGTACACTGCACACCTCTAGGGGGCACCATTCACATTTGTTGTCATTGTAGATTTGTGTATTTACTTTGACAAGTTTCCTACAGAGTAAAGTATCTTGGAAAGGACTCATGTTTGGGCTAGGGTAGAGCTAAGTGCAGAAGGTTTCACTATCTTCCTATTACTGGGTATTCATTCATTTCACATCACAGGTTGAGGACTCTCCCTGTTCTTGGCATTGATATTCAAAGATGACTGACAATGTGATCTCTTCTTTGTGGGTCTCAGTCTAGTTGAGAGGAAGAAAGGGAAAAAAGTAATTCCATCCCTAAGTGTATTGTAAAAAAAAAATTATAGGCCTGATGTGGTGGCTCAAGTTTGTAATCCCAGCACTTTGGGAGCCCGAGGTGAGAAGATTGCCTGAGTCTAGGGATTTGAGACCAGTTTGGGCAACTTGGTGAGACCTCGTCCCTACAAGAAATAAAAAATTAGCCAGGCATGGTGGCATGCGCCTATGGTTCCAGGGACTTGGAAGGCTGAGGTGGAAGGATCGCCTGAGTCCAGCAGGTCAAGGTTGTGGTGGTTGTGAGTGTGCTACTGCACTCCAGCATGGACGACA